CGCTTTATTTCTATTCACGTCATTTCACACAGAAACTCTGTTCCGATCTGATCTTAAACTTGACGCGTCTTTGTGGGTAAGATATCAGAATATTGTACTGCCGACAGTCATTTTCTTGTGATGGGGGGAAAAAAAAGGTTTAAAGGACGTTCCGGTCTTGATATTTCATGCACAAGAAAAAACAGCGCGATACCAAACCGAGGGAGGGATGCACTTTTCACAGTAATCTATCCCAGTCATTCTCGCTGTGAGCTGAGGTGAGATTTAATAATATTCCAATGAATAAATCGCAAAATTCAAAATGCTGCAAAATTAACCAGGCGCTAAATGTCAACCGAGCTGAAATGTTTCAGAATTTTCACTGCTTATTTTATTCAGCCAAAAGCGCCGAGATGCCGGACTGCAACGTTTGAACAATTTGTACTAACATTAAGGAGATAATTCTTTTTTTAAAAAAAATCAAGAACTGTAGCGGGCACCGTCAATGTAGTAGCTCTATGCATAATTCTATTAACTACAAAGATTTTGAACAAAATCGGCGCAAAACTAAACTAAACTTGGATACCATGACTCAATCCATAACTTCACCAATTATTTTGTTATACTACAAACACAAATGATCTAAATAAGAAGTTACCCGCCCCTTTGTTATTCATTATAGTCTCAGGTTTGGCATTTTAAATAAAGGTGGTTTATAATACTTGTGTATGTTTAAGCTTAATCGATATATCATCACTTTTGCTGTAACCATAATATGTTTACGGATAGCAGCAGAAAATTTACATGGAGAGAACATTTATCCTGAAGATCCGCACTTCAATCTTCTTAGAACTGCTACGGAATGTAATTTCCAAAATCTATCAGTAATTCAGGTATTTTCAATGTCCGGATATTTACGAAACACGACACACGTTCATGGGAACAAAATTCAATAATGTGACTTTGGAAACAAATACACCATTATAGATACGAACAAAATACATTTAATAACATCTCACATAGACTTTTGTGTGACGGGGTAAACATGCAAGGCTAATATTTGGATGCCATTAATCTTTTTTACAGATTAGTATTTCTTGTAAAACAATTTACCAAAACATTGCTTGTGTATTCTTTTCAGAGATATGGAGTATCTATGTTAAAAAATAACTAGGAATGGCATACTATATGTGTGTATTTTCCTTTAATGTGGTAACCTTTAAGAAATAATTATGAGCTCAATTCATATTCATAGAAAATCTGGCGTTCCATGAAATCAAAATCTATCGCTTCTCTTTGTGAACTTTTTTTATACACTTGCAACGTTGACATGTCTGTATTAAAGGATATGCATAGCAATATGTAACGCAACTCGTTAGTTTATTCATTTTACCAGCACCACACTGTGTCAGAATAAACGTTGCAAGGACCGTGTCTACACTCTCTTGCAAAGTACAGGCTTCACCTTTGTGTTCTACTTTTCTGGATTCCCATGAAAGACGGAGATTGGATTTCAGCAGAGGGAGACACAGTGAAAGATCTGCGGGTTTTTTTATATAAAGAAACACCTATATCAGGAGGATTAAGATGTCTTTGCTTTTAAAATCTCCGCGCTCGCAATAATTGCCAGACGTGGCAATAATTTCTAAACATATTAACGTTTGCATTTGATAAATTCAATGCATTATTAGTTTAGACTCTGATATTGACTTAGAATTTTAGTTTTCTTTTTCGCTACCTCAATAGAAAGTTCACTAAACATTTATTCACTCCATAAAACATGCAATCGTATTTTCTTCCATTCAAAGTAAATCTCCGCAAGCACATGACACCATCCTCTGGGATTAAAACACATTTCGGAATCTTGTTTTAAAAATCGATTTAGCAAAGTTTGCAATATGTTTTGTGAGTATTATATATACCGCGTTTATATCTTATCACGTACATTGAACAACCAACCTCTGGCTCAGTACTTTTGCATACTGACATCGTTCTTTGTTGCAAAAAAAGATTTAGAAGAATGTCAAATAAATTACATTCTGTGAGCGTTTGTGCTTCACTAAGAAGACTATAAATATTTATTTCTCCCATTTCCGAATACTTAAATCTAAAACTTTCGAATTCAGGAATATACAGTAATTACATTGAATTCGTCTGACTATTGATTGTATTTGTTATGGGTGAATAACAATTTTTATTCTGCAGGAACTCGCATGTCAGATTGTAATGGAAAATAATAAATAGTTGATTCAACGGCAGTGGACAAACAAAGTAAAACACTGTACAGCGTCTCAAAACAAGATTATAAAATCGAGGAACCTGATGCATGTTTTGGGTAAGTAGATAATGGAAAACAATTTGAAATATTTCCTTATAAAAATGCATTGCGTGGTATTTATTTTGACAAGGTATATTTCTGGATAATATGCCATTGAGACATTGCACGTCAACTTTTTTTTCTCAGAACATTCAGGTTATTTCACGTTTACAAAACATATTTTTTTAAAAAATAGGAACAGATTCAAAATGATTTAAAGGCTGCTCACGGAAACAATTGCAGGATTCATCTCGTTTGTGTTGCCATTCACTTTAATGGACCAGTGTATATTTGACCTTTGTTATTTAAGACCACACTCAGCACCTCAATGGAAACAAGTTAAGCACGTTCGGCTCTGGCAAACATTATCCTTTTCCACTGGAGACTTACCCTGCGCAAACGGACTTACCCATGCTCTATCGCCTCTCATGCGGCCCCTCACATTTGTTGGGAGGGAGATAGAGACAGAGAGAACGTAAGAGCATAAGAAATGCTAGACGAAAAAAAAACACTAAAGTCCATCTGGTTCGTCTTCCACCTTCCTGGCGGTCGCATGCACATATATCCCGAGCTACCGACCGATGTACTGTAGCCTATGATGTTATTTCTTAAAAGAAAACTATCTAATCTGTGAAGTGGAGACAGGACACAACGTCAGAGAAACTCAAGTAAAACACAGGCACACAAAAAAACATTGACACACAATACGGTAGACGTAACGTAGAAGGATCAAAAAAGCAATCGAGATTATAATTCAACTCCTGGTACAGCAAGCACAGAAAATAAACCCTGGCAATAAAGGCATAAAGGGGAAATGGCTCTTTGAGATGTTCTCTTCAAACCTGCCTAAATATTTGTCCCCTCTGAAGTACGAGGCACAGCAGAAGAGCTTTTATTTTGAACAAATTGAGGAAATATGACGGCAGACACTTTATCAAAAGCTGTTTCCTTCGATTATCAGCAGTCAGCATAGAATTGCTGCGGTGACAATGTTTAATTTGATGTTGTGTTTGTCTGGTGCACATGGGAATTGAAACAGAGGACTAAGTACATCGTTCTGTCGAAACTATTAAGCAACGCGAAACAATAAGTTTGAACTGATTTACCTTTGTACCTGAGTTGATTTAGTTTTAATCTGTGAAATGGAGACAGGACACAACGTAAGAGAAACTCAAGTAAAACACAGACACACAAAGAAATATTGACACACAATACGGTAGATGTAACGTAGAGCTTAAGTTTTCAACTTCGCTGTCTGCACATAACCTGACAAAATGATTATTCAATTAAAGAGAATGCAATATTTGATTCTTTAAATTGAAATATATAAACACCGTGAGTTTACGTGAAGTTTGATTCCAGAGTAGTATTTCAGTATAAACGCATTCATAATTCACTTAAAAATGTAGATGTTTACTTTATTTTGTGGCAATCGTGGAAGCCAGTGTCGATTTAAATGCTAGTGTTAAATTGTACCGCAAAGGTAAACAGATACCTTCACATGATTAAAGTCATAAATTTCCTCCCCGTTCTAAAATCATTCACAGCAATAAAACAGTGCACACCATTTAGACTAGAGTAGACGCTCCATTTTGTAATAAAGTGAAACCGTTACTGATTATATTCGTTTTAAAACGTAATTTACCAATCTGGGGGTTGTGCAAAGGTTAAAGACATGAACAATTTCTGTATTTAACCTGATGCAAAGAGTCCCCAGCGTTTTTTTTAAAAAGCATCACTTTTCAGTGCTGGTGGAATTGACTAACTTTTCAGAGGTGTATTGTGTCATATGTTTTGATTTCAATCCGCAGCGTGAAACAAACACGTTATAATACATGGCCATTAACATTAGTGATGCAAGAAGTAGTTTATGTTAACACTGCAAAAGTAATAAGCCTTCATGTGTAATTCACCTACATTTTACCAACGTCGTTAGATACAACCTGTTTTTACTCAACAGTTGCTAAATGTCAATTGAAATTGAAAACTATTTGTAATTAGTGATTTCGACTACATATAAATAAATGTGTTGCTTCTTACGCAAATGCGACCCTGGTTTATACTTGTAGCCAAGCAAAATCATTCTGAACATAATTTGATTATTCCAGCCTTGATGTAACTCTGCACCTTTGCTAAATTGTTTATTGTTTTGACAAATATTTTTTTCCAATAAAGAAAATCGGTGCCAGTATTTAAATCTGGGGACAAAAACGGGCTCGATTTTAACCATCTAAACTGTACAATGGTGTATTTAAGAAACAGTTTGTTTTTTTTCAAAAAATGTTGTAATAAAAAAAATCTCAATGCTGCAAGTCTACAGATTATTCTTGGAAATTGTTTTTTTTTAAATTTTGAAAAAAAAAACATTGCAACAAGAACTTACCGCCTGGGGTGAGCTAATCCATTACAACTTATTTTGATGCAACTGACAATTTATTGGAAAAAAAAACACAATGAAAATATTTTCTCTCTCTCTCTCTCTCTCTCTCTCACTCTCACTCTCTGTTCAAGATTAACAATCCACAAGAAACCCATCAGATGCCTCGCTAGACCCCAAAACACACTTGTGGAAGCAACTTCCAGGTAGTGTTGCCAGGTCACGTCAGCCCACCAATACGGTGCCTGTGGTCCCCCTGTCCCGTCCTTGCACGTCATGGCCACGGGTGTGTCTTTGGTGATTGGCAGCCAGAGCGTGTAAAATCCATTTCCCATGCTGTGCTTTGAAATGCAGAACCGAGCCACCTCTCCCCAGGAAAAGAGAAGTACATTTCTACTCCCATACAAGTCCCTCCGTAACTCCGAGAGTCAAATCAGTTTCCTGGGCAGCGTTTGCAAGCGAATCCCGAAGCGTACCCGTACCGCAAAGGGATTGGGAATTGTACATGTTTGAAGCGCACACGTTCAGCAGCAGGAAGTGTTGAGGATCATTAGTGCAATAACTACCATGGGTGAGTGGTTTCAGTTTGTGAACTCTTTTCTATTTCTGTCAAAAGGAAAGAAATGGACTGTTCGGTCGAGCGTGTGCAAGTACTAAGTTAACCTTTTCAAGTATTCGTGCCATTACGTGAAATGTGACAAGAGATCGATTCAGTCCCGCCGAACTTATTACAATAAAACAATGTTCTTTAGAGAGATTGTTACATGGTGTGTGGATCTCAAAATATATACGAGCATCTGCAAATTAATTGTACATGGATTATTACGGAGGCTACTTTAGTGGTGTTAAATGAGTTAAAGGGTGTTTCCTCGGCTCCACTAGTAAAACAAACCACAACTCAGACCGCTGGTTAAAACTAACAAACATCGTAAACTGAATGAAGAGTTGGTTGTAGCCTAAAAGCGCGACGTTCAAAATAATCTTGTGATTTTATTTTATGATTTTCTTTGGCTATAGATACACAAAAAAGATCTTACGCCCAAATCAAAGCTACGTTTCACATGGGTTAGATTTTAATGGACAGAACTTTTACCTTTGGCTGTAGTCTAATTATTCGAGATCCATATCTTTATGTATCAGTAATATAAATCAAAGAGGGCCCAAAATGCATTAAACCTCGACCTTCAGGTAAATATTGTCGCTTTGAATGCACTGTTGGTTGTGGGTCTCATAACTCAACACGGAATACACTATAAAATGTATATAAATGATGCTTAGTACGTACATGAATTTAAATCCCTTGCTTTTCAAACCATTCCAACACAAGTTATGACTTTGGACAATTTAATATTGTGCACACAATTATGTAAATAATTATGCATCGTGTGCAAATTGCCGAGCGTGTTCTGATTTTCTTTGTTAAATTCCAGTTAAAAAAAAACACGTAACGATCTCTGCAATAACACGAAGGTAATTTGCCAGAGATACGATTATGGGATGGAAGTGGATGGAAGGATTACACTGTACAGGCCCACACAGCCCGACACGCTCCATAAACCTAACAAAGTAGACCTTGTCAAAATGTTTCGTTAACACAACACAGAAAATACATCCGCAGTCTGGTTTAGACGTTGTGTTACGGTGGCTTGTAAACCGCAAGTTGACTTATTTTTTCCCCTCTCCTGAATGCTGTTTTCCCCTCTTGTTTTTTTTTTTGCACATGTCCTACATCAGAGCCAGCGTTCGGGGAGGTAAACCAGCTCGGGGGGGTGTTTGTCAATGGCAGACCCTTGCCCAATGCCATCAGACTGCGGATCGTTGAACTGGCTCAGTTGGGGATTCGACCCTGCGACATCAGCAGACAGCTTCGGGTTTCCCACGGCTGTGTCAGCAAGATACTGGCTCGCTACAACGAGACGGGCTCGATCCTACCCGGCGCAATCGGGGGCAGCAAACCCAGAGTGACGACCCCCACGGTGGTCAAGCACATCCGAGGATACAAGCAGAGAGACCCGGGGATTTTTGCCTGGGAGATTCGAGACAGACTGTTAGCCGATGGGGTGTGCGACAAGTATAACGTGCCCTCGGTCAGCTCCATCAGCAGAATCCTGAGGAACAAAATTGGAAACTTGTCGCAGCAAAATCAGTACGAATCCAGCAAGCACTCGCCACATCCGCCTCCTCCTCCACAGTCGGCTCTCTCCTACAACCCGCTCTACTCCTACCCCAGTCCCATCACGGCCGCAGGAGCTAAAATGCCAACCTCGCCTGTCCTCCCGACTCTCCCCGGCCACATGGGCATTCACAGGACCTGGCCTTCATCGCACTCTGTCACCGACATCCTGGGCATCAGAGCTATCGTGGAACAGCAAGGTAAGATACAGTACCGATGACAAGGTTCAATAATAATAATAATAATAAAAAGGGGGCGAAGTGGAGGGACACACCGCAATACTGAATCCAACAGATTGTTTATGGGATTTTAAACCATGGTTCCATTGCATCAAGTAAACGTATATATATATATATATCCTTCCGATATATAAATGGGAAATATATATTTCCCTTTAATCCAGACAACGTATCTCACATTTCCTCTACTCAGTAATCCTAATATCACAAATGTCATGCAATGTGCAGTCACATCGTACTTTTCACACTGTTGTGCGGTCGTGAAACTACAGCTGATTCTGTGACATGGCCACCTGAACATTTAATTTCGAACTGCCTTCCAGTGAAACCATTGGTTTTGTTATACAGTATAAGGTAATTGCACATTCACGCACCAACGGTACAAGTGAACTTCCGCAAAATAAAATAAAGGAAGATTCAATTCCAGTCAATCAACATTAGGCGGGCATTTTGCACGGAATTAAATGCAAACAGTCTTATTCGCCAAGTTCTCAGTGTTTTGGCAATGTCGAGCAGTTAACAGTACAGCATAAAGCCTCACTGCTTTCCATACACAAAATGTCCACTTCTGTTGTACTGTCAAGCAGGATAATTATTTCCTTTCCCACTGACGGAGTAATTATAATAGTCTTCTATTTATGTGGTTTTCGGTTTTTGAACATCGATTATATTTAACATTTTGCAGTGATTTGTACACTGGAAACATTTCGGTGGAGCACACGTTCTGCAAGATTGCCCTTGTCAACTGTGAGGGATTATTTGTTGCTGTTTCTCTGCTCAAGAATTTCTCATTTATGATTTAGTTTCTGGTCATTTTCCTACTCCCCCCCCCCCCCCCCTCCCCCCCCCCCCCCCCCCCCCCCCACACACACACACAAGTTGCCATTTCCCCCAAACCTTTCTATACAAACACACACATTGCAGTAGAACATTGCTTAGAACTTGCGTCACATAATAACAATTGCACTTCTGTGACTGAAAAGATTGTCCTGTATTTAAATCGGATTAAATTGCTGTATTGGTTTTACTTCGCGACATAGAGAATCGATAGTAACTCGTGTTAATGAAGGGGTTATGTGCGAAATTGCTTCTTGGTAACTGACACTTTTTTTTAATTGCAAAAGCAAAATTAAGACAGTATCTTGTCACGGAACAAGAAGGAAATATACAATTAAACATTCAATTCCATTTCCTACAAAACAATGTACTGCTTCGGGCTAACTAGATCTTAATACACTAAGAGCACGGATGCATGAGTACTGTAGTTATTTTTTTGGGGGGAGAGAGGTTGAGTATAATTTAAATACGAGGATCTGTATTCTGTATTCCGAAACTCGAAACACGAGGGTTAAGATATGTGGGGCTGAGGAGATCAGGTTAAACCAAACTTGTCATCATTTCACATTTGTTTCCAATGTACCTGGACCTTCAGCATTGACATGATGCAGAATTTTAGAGGAGTTTTGTTTATTTTCAGTGAAATGGCGTGCAAGTATTAAAGATACAAACACATTTGCAAAACTGGCATTTGTAAAAGAAAAAGTTGGTCATTTAAAAAGACACAACCACACAAAAAGACGGTGCAGTTTTAGGTAGCGCGTCGCTAGTGTACGGACATGAATGAATGAAAAAAATATAGTTTGCAAAAATGAATCGTGAAGAAATTTCAGAAACTATTTCATTTTCAAACGCCGGCCGGAGCCCTCGACTCATTAATCTATAACACATTCCATAATTTATGAACCAGACCGCATAAGGCGTGCAAACCGGATTCCAATCAAAAAAATCCGGATGGGTTCAGCAGTAATGAGTAAATCGCTGAATGGGTTACCCCAGCTCACTTCATCTGCCCGTCTGGGTCAAATTAAAAAACACAAAAAAATACCGGAATCATACTGACGGAAATAAAGGGAAACAAATATGGTATCTAACTATAAAGTGTTGGGGGAATGCGAGTCATATTATATAAATATTTGTGTTGTTCGATGCTATTCCTATTAGTGACAGTTCTTCCTATTCTACTAAAGTGGAAGAATGGAACAACAGTATAAACAGGAGCAATTTCCAGTCCTCAAACCAGCCTACAGTGAATGGCTTGGACAAGTCCCCACTGGAACAGGAAGTCAAATACACTCAGGTAATTGTAGCTTTGCCTTTCCTCTCAACCAGACAGATTACAGCGTTTACAGAACTCCAAACTGCAAAAATAAACATGCTTCAGCAATTACTGACCCAGATATAATTAGTATTTTAAATTGCCATGACTTTTTTTTTCACATGCTCGGAACCTTTCAATAATTAATCTGCAGAACGGTGGAAATAAAAGGCGTGGATTTTTTTTAAATAAAGAAAAGGTGACGGGCTAAATATGAAATATTATCTGAGGGAATTATTTAAATTTGCCTTGAAGGGGGCTTGGAGCAGGGATGCGGATATGGCGTATTTTTTTTAGGACAAAGTAGTGTGAAAGGAAGTGCAAAATTCTTACATTAGAATCGTGCACCAAGCAATCACAACTATAATATTTAAATCACGACTTTATTCCTCCGTTTCATTCTGTGGGAAATACCAATTAACATACAATCAATGGACTTATTATGTGAATAACAAAAGCACATAATGAATATGAAACAGTGAACTGACTCATTCAAAATCTTACACTAAATTAAGATCTGATTTTGAAAATAATAGTTACTGTTCACCTATAATCCGATATAATACCAGAACGTATCTATAAAAACTGGGAGTGGAGTAATTATCTCAGATTTAAGTCAATAAACACAAACGCAAAACGATCTTCTCTGTGATTTACTGCATCTTAAACAACCGCTAGTTTCATGCTGGAAAGTTTGTAACATAAAACGATATCATCCATTCGACCGACCGGTTTATAATTTAAATAAATGATCTCACTTCGAAGTTTCTAGATTTTTTTAAAAAAACGCTCTTGTAGATGATATGATTGCTCGAGTAGTCGTTGAAATTGAAATTAAATAGAAATTAAACAGATGCATTGAAATCCCTGAAAAGTTCAGGACAATATAAGGAAGCAAATACGCACATCGTAGCAATCTATATCCAAAGATTATGCTTTTTTTTAAGCATGAATCATGAAGAATGAATCCAACTCTCCCGCTCCTCTCCCGATCGCTTACTATTCCAATATTGTCCATTTATTGATACTAAGGTATGAACAATGACAATTTCACAATCTGATATAAATGGCTAATATTTCATAGAACAAAAGGCCACGGCTATGCAAAACTCTTAGGTGCACGGAGCAATATGTAATCCAGCAAACCTCAATGACAGAAGAAACACAGGAACTTTCGCTCAGCTGTTGCGAGAAGAAAATTGTTCCGAAAAGTGAACTTGGCCAAAAGAACATTTCATAGCAATTTTAAAACAAGACAGAAAACACGGCTTGTATATTTTGTGAACAGGCATAATCGTGACTGGCTAACTGGTGCCAATTTTTTTTTAGGCAAGATAACTAAAACTTATGTTTCTTTAGTTCAACTCGAGTTATCCAATAATTAAAACAACTAAAAACGGACCGCATTACAAAACTAATATCAGGTTTTCAGGTGTATTCAGGACTCAATAAATAGATGAATTATTGATGAATATAACATTTCACAAGAGCGTGTCACAGATGACTAGTTCGAAACAGACAATATTGGGTGGGGGAATTGTAATGGAATATGGCCTTCGCTATTTTGTGCCTCTATTATTTGCAACTGTGCTCAAATGCAGCAAATTATACACTTATATCTATCATACACTTAGACCTATATTCAGTAGAGACTACGTGAGCAGCAACAACTATGCGGGGTTTTGCGGGTCGGCTCGATACTGATATGGGAGCACCAATTCAGGGGCTGTGGTGGTTCTCGCTCTACACTTGCGCTGCAAAGTGCCTTTTATTTGTCAGTGTGTTGCGGGGATGAGCACCACTGCATTCACACACATTGGCACCAATTCCTGCGGCGGCGGTTGTCTAGCAACTGCACCAAAATAACATTTATCGCAATGTTTAACATGTTACTCCAATGCATTGATGGAAAAAAAAACATTTCTAATGACGGGGTTGACGTTGCGGGGATTCATATTTTTCTTACTCATCGCTTCACACATTCTCTATAGAAACGACCACAGTATTTATTACTTAAAGCAGTGACATTCAAGGACGGTTCTTTTTCTTTATCATCAATGATATACTATTAAGGTGAATAACTTCCCTCGAGGGTATACGAAGCCTTTATAGCAATTTGACTGCAAATAGATCAAGTCTAATTTGAACCTTTACAACTTACCTGCTATTTCTAACAGATTGAAAATGTCAATTGTGTCCAATCTCCTACATACAAATAACGATTGCAGGATAATCCCATTTTTTAAAAAATATAAATCGTTCGAACTTTCCTACTTCATTTTAACTCCCTTTCACAATTGATAAGTTTGCATCAAACATCTGCATTATCAATCTAATTCACATGCTACATTTTTTTTTGCGTGGATAATCTGGTCCTTACGTCGGATTGCTTCGCCAGTTCGTGTTTTTTTTCTCTCTCTCGAAATGATTGAATCGCATATTTCAGTTGAGGATGACTTGAAAAGACTTATCAAATAAAATGTGACGATTAATCTTTATTTTCCAGGCTCCCAATGGCCTGCCTGCAGCAAGCAGCTTTGTCGCCGCTTCAACCATGGCTCCCTACCCTCCACCCACACAAGTGTCGCCCTACATGACATACAGTGCGGCCGCTTCCAGTTACATGGCAAGTCACGGCTGGCAGCATGCGGGTGGCAGCACACTCTCAGCCCACAGCTGCGACCTCCCTACGCCACTGCCATTTAAAAGTATTCAAGCAACCAGAGAAGGTAGCCACTCTGTTGCAGCCTCTGCTTTGTAATGCACACACACACACACACACACACGCACACACACACACACAGTTATATATGTAATGAATGCTATGTCCTCAGATGTCAACGATGCATCAGCATCAGCACAGACGTTGGTCTCAAACCTTTGAGAACGTAGACATGAAGAAATATTGGTTACTTGGCATTTTTCCAAACTTTATTTTGCTTGCTTTTATTTAATGGACAATTGGAATCTGCCCCCCTTTATATCACATAGTTAGTAACCCTTGCAAGTTACCCATGGTTTCACATGATAATGTAATTGGTACTTAAAGTGTAAAAGGTCGAGGATCAAATTATACCCATGTTATATCCAAGGAAAGATGGCAACTCAAGTAGTTAACCATATGACTCCCAACCAAGTTTGAATCCCAGAGCTACTTGTCCCTCGGGGCTTAGTTTGAAGAGTCATGTCACTGTCTGTCTGAGATAAATGGAGTATCAAGACAACATGAGCTTTTACATCTAACTAGAAGTGGGAAAATCTCAAAATTGTCCATCCACTTTCCCTCCTCCCATCTCCATGACTGAGTAAAGTCTAACCATGGAGGTAGCATTGATGCGACAGGCATTGATGTTTGAGCCTCAATAAATCCCACCATCCTGGTTAAGGGAAGAAAGCTGATGGCAGTAAGTGGCCTGTCAATGGGAGCAAAATTACACCAGACACAAGGTATAAAAGTTAAATCAAGGAAAGCAGAATAAAGTTTAAACTACCAGTGGCCAGATTTTCAAAAGTTCATGCTATCAATAATTGATACAGAGACAATTAAAAGAAGATTTACAACTTATCAATGCTGCTAATTAACCACTGGTTAAACTAGTTACAGCAAACCATTCAACAGCAAAACTTGCATTTATCCAGCACCCTTCATGTGGGTAGCATCATTCTAAACAATTGCTCATTAATTCAGATTTAAGTTGTAGTTTTTCCCTTCCAGTGATACTCAAAGGGAAGCTTATCTCAATTGTTTTCCCAACAATAGTAAAGCATAACATGAATTATGTTATTTAGGCAGATTATTTTTTTCCCCTTTGAATTGTTTAAGTGGCCATACGTATTAATACAAAAAGTGGTTTACAGGATGCTACACTGTTTCTGAAAATGCAGTGGGGGAAAATGCAAAACAAAAAGACCACTATAAACTTTAGTGCAATTCTATTGAAAACCTGGCCCCAGTTATATCCTATTCAAAATTCAAAAAATTATACAGCTGTACTTATATATCACTAATTTCTTCTGTTAAAGCAATAAATATAAGTAACTGGAATTAGAGAGTGAGACAGAATATTGTAATTTAAATTTTTGTTGAAGACATAATTGATAGGGGAAAGTAATTATGGATTAGAGATTTTCTTCTTTGTAAATACAAATAAATTGACAAAATTTATTTTTGTATCATTGTGTAAGGTTTCACTCTTTAACTGTTGCTGCTGGCTTTCTGCCAAGCACATTCTTTACATTGGTGGCAGGCTGGCCAGATCCTTATATGGACATTTCTTTATTATTTTGTGTGCATACAGTAAGTGTTTTATGAAGGAAATTTTCTTTCTTCGGCACAGGACACAAAGGCAAACAACTCTACAAGTAAACTACAGGATCCTATGCAACCTCACAGGGTCATGATACAAGCCCCAAACACAGCTAGGGTATAAAGTTAGCTTTTCGAAGACCTTGAACAAAATGTCTTTAAGAAGTTGATCAGAAGGTTCAAGCTTAATGTGAAACCTATGTATGGACTCATACAATGGAGTCGTAACATAACCACTGTGAAACACAACTTCTCCTCTAGTTATTGGCTGTAGCATTGACCCAACAATTCAGGTGACACATCTGTTAATTTGTTTTCCTGATAGTTTCAAGATTATTTCTGGTTGAAATGAATGTACATCAGTCTGCTGTGCAGTTTACATCTATGTAAATAATCATTTTTATTTGTAGGTAAAATGGTGGTGGTAAAAAGTATGAATCTAAATTTTATTTAATGGTAATTAGTATTGTATGTAGTTCAAAACATTCAGTGAACCAGATAGCAGCTGGGCGGTCACACAAAAACCTGCACACCATGTAAAAAGCTATAAAAATTCTCTGTTGTTCTATATTAAAACCATAACCTTTTTGTATTTTTCTTAATATGCATTAACTCTACCTAGTCTGTCCCAGTTTCCCACAGCAAAGCCTTCCATTGAACCTGCTCTTTGTTGAAGTCCAGGATGGATGTATAAATAAACTAAATCATTTAACAAGGATGTACATCATAAGGCTGTAATTGTACATATTTGTAAAAAAAACCTTTTATTTTTATATCGTATCTAAATTAAAAAGGGTGAAATACAAATATTTGTTTTGTTCAGAATTGTAAAAATGTTGGTATTTTTAATTCATCATCTTAGGTTAATTTATTGACACTGACAAATATCTTACTTATTATAACATTTTATTTGGTTTGAAGTTACATCTGTGACTGTCCTCTGACAAAGTGTAGAAAACGTAAACATTCTGCATGTGCACCCAGGTTAAGTGATACATGATATTCAGTAAGAAAATGCAACTGTTTCAAAGGCACCTTGTTCAGTTTAAATCAATAGTTCTCATGAAGCCAGGCAAGTGAATATTCATAAACCAACAGCATAACTGCACCTCCTAGAGAGAGACACACAGAAAGAGGAAATGAGACAAAAAAAAACGTATCACTTAATGAATTTTAAAAGTACTTGAAACCATTCACAACATATCCTAAATACTAACATCTGATCATATGTAAATACTAGGGTTGCACTTACCTGGCCCAAGTCGCATGATTTTAGGCACCAAGCCTTTATACAATGCAAAGAACCTAGAAATTGGAAATGTATGAATTAGTTAACATAGTTGCCAACTATGTCCAAAATGTCTGCTGGGAATTTCCACTAAATAATACTCTGCCTTCTACAGTGCAGGCCTTGCTCCCTTTGAACTGCAGGGTGTTGTAGCATTTTTGCGGTGGTTAATTGTGTTTTTCATATTGTTTTTAAAATTGTTTTAATTAAAACAACATAATACCATGACTGAAATATGATGACCGTCATGCTCCTGGGTATTTTTTTAGAATCTTACCTTAGTTGCATTACAATTGGACATTTGATAGGTGGACAGTGCATTAAGTTAAGATTTTGATTTGCTAATTGTCAAACACACATTATTTCAGGAGCAACAAAACCAGAGAGTAATTACAATTACCAGAGATATGGAATGGAAGTCCTTAATACCAGTTTAAATTCTGCTGTGCAAATCACCAAATCATTTACTAGGCAGTGATTGTATTAAAGTAACAATGTTAAAATGACCCAAATTTTTAATTGAAAAGGGGTTCTTACCCTTCTTCTCTATAGATAGTGTTCATGGTGCTGAAACATGTCCTATATTTAATCTCTCCTAGAATAGGCTGTGGCCCTTGGATTCTGCTTTTAGCCACATCGAAAGGTATGTTAACACAAGAGGCAATTGTTCCCGACAGTAATCCAATTCCAACTTTCCTCAAGAACTCCAAGACTGGGTCCTGAAGAGAAAACACTCACATTAAATTTGTTTTAGGGGAAAAAGAAGAAACATAATTAGTTGAAAATCTATGTGGCAACACTGTCTTGTTACTCGACCTAAACACATTAAGGTTTCCCATCCTGGAGTTCACTTTCTTGACAATCACATTGCCTGTGTTTTTACACATGTTCCAAATTGCTGAAGCACACATTTCCTCACACAGGATTTATAAACAAAGTTCATAAAAAAAGAGACTTGCATGGCATATGGGGATGATTTGTATAATTAGGCCTTACAATGTACTTAGTATTACTGTATCAAAACAGAAGAAATCCAAGCAACCATATTAGCTAATTGGCCAGAATACTTTACAAATGACAGCAACTTCCACCATGAAATCTACCAAAATACTGATTTGTACATGAGATCACCATATGTTAAAAAAATTTGGATCCCAATGTTCTATGTTTTTGTTCTCTTTCCTGCATGCTTTTCTCTTCAGATTTTCTTTCATGTTCAAGTTATCCAGTCGATCAAGAAGTAGAAGTTTCCTGTTATTAACAATCCACATTAGTTCAATTATAGCAGTGACTGAAGTCTCTTGTATTTTTGGAAAACAGCAGCAACTAATTTAATTGACTGAAGGATTTTTAAAGTACACTACTGCTTAAAAAGTAATGCTTCAGTTTCAGACTTTCTTGCATCCATAGAATATTTGTGTCCTGACTTCAATGTGAATGTGGACGCTTCAGTGGTGTTTTATAATAATATATTCAAACCATTGTGATTCTTTGACATTCTGTGTTAGTAATTATTGATGCAGACCCTTGATCTCCCACATTTTTATAGACAATTAAATCTAATGGTGTGTAATGATTTACACTTGCAAAACATTGCACTACAATGTAATGCTATTTATGTATAACTTCTAGAGCATCCAATTAAAAAGCAGAATGATTGTTACACAAAAGCATGGCAGATGGTCAAACAATACTTTCTTCCTAAAGCCCAATTACTGGAGTGTTGTAACAGATGTATTGGCTTAGTTTCGATGAAAGTTTTGCATGAGGAAATGAGATGTATTAGTGTAAAAACAACATGAAAGTCCACTGCTTACACATACACTAATGTTGCTTGGTTTCTGATCATTCGCCTGCTGTGTATCTGATATTGGCCCACAATTCAGGTGAAATAATTACCTCCTCTGCAGGAATAATATTTTTCACATTGAAGTAAAATCCAAAGTAGATCATGTTGAACACGCCATGTCGACCCAATGTTGCTGTCAGCCCCTTGTTGAGGCCTTGCAGTCCGAAGCCCTGGGAGCGGACAATTTCTCGTGCGTACGCAAATGTGGATAGTTGCTGTATCAAAACAAATGTCATACTGAAGGTTTTTTTTCCCCCAAAGGAAAATAAAAATAAATACAACATTTGAAATCCAATTGCTTTCAGGTCTTTATGTCCCTTAAAGAAAGGAAACACAAAGTTTGTACAAAGGTTGAATAATTGACGCAAATCATGACCTTATAAAAACAATCTAAATGTTTTTCGGTTATGTTGAAACTTTTATTTATTCACCAGCATTTTACTTTGAAACATAATCAGTGTTGTTTACAAGGCTCAAATGAAACATTGCCACAGGTTTCCTGATTGTGGGCAAGTTCAGAGTCATATAGAGGAGGTTCCAGTCAAACACACGTGTCCTGTGCTGTGTTAGCAGATCCTAGTCCTGACAAAGGAAGAGCCAATACAATTGGCCTCAGGGTCTCCAGTTGAGGTTTCTGTCCTGTAACATTCCATGATCCTATGATTGCTATTTCAGTGACCTCTACTGGAAGAGAGACATCAAGACTGGTCTGGGACTAGCTGTGATGCCTGTTCTCCATGGTTAAAGACCCACCCACCTATGAAAAATGACCATGGTCAAACTGCTGGAGGTGGCTGGAGCCTTTGGAACCATTTCCCTGAGTGACTCATTATTTTAAAGGAGGAGAACTTGGGTGGAGGAAATGCTGACTTAAAAAAAATAATTAAAATTTCACTTCCCATCGTTCCCTTTTCCATTGTGGCCTCAACCTCGCAGACCAGATGGTCTGGACTGTAATGTAGATTCTTCTTCGACAGCTGTTGTCAGATCAGCTCCACATTGCTGGAGGGCAATACTATGCAAAGGAGTACAGCGTGAGCCTGACCGGGCACAGGGAGGATGGGGGCAAAAGTGACTGAGTAGAAACAACTGTCTAAGAGGGAAATAGACGAAGTAGGAAGAGGAGTTCAGCTACATGACAGCGGAAAAGAGCAACAATGGCCTAAGGGGAAGTGCCTCTGTCCCATCCATGCTAATGCCGGTTAGCCCCATCTTGCCCCTTCCTTCCTCAACTTCAGGTCACACCTGAAGACCTTCCTCCTCAACCATACCTCCCCTCCATCCCCTACCCTCCCACCTCCAGCCCGGCATTGTACTCTAGCATTGTCATGCACTCTGGGATGCAACTCTGCGTGAGATGTACTATATAATTATATAAATGGAAGTTGTGTTCTGTAAAAAGCAGTCAAGTAATAATTTCTTTGTGCTTTAACTATTAGTTTTTGACAATACTGTGCTCTGGGAGAAAACTCGGGAAGGCTTTGCGCAGATTTCCCTCTCTTTGACTCCCTTCTGCCTTCATCGATCAGGGGTAAGGGTGAAACTCTTCCTATTGTTATAGTGAATTAATTATCTCACTTGGATGTATAAATAGAACAGTTTTGACTAGAATCTTTCAGTACAGGTTATTTTAATAGCTGATTTGTTTATGAAAGGTTCTTTTTCAAAACTCCATACTGTTGAATCCATGGCATCAGCCAAATGAACCCTTCATATATCTGGTTGGGTATAGGGCAGAGGTGAAGGGTGCGGTCAAATTTCAGGCTGTTCAGAGGGACTGCGTGTTTTGCTTGTCATTAAATCAATAATAATAATAATCCTTTTGCATTTGATACAGTACCTTATCACATCTTCAAGACATTTCAAAACGCGTCACAGAATTCACTGTAAAGTGTACATTTTGTGGGTGAATTGAGTGACCAAATTATTATTATTTTTTTTGAGGGAATTATTGCCCCCAGAAAAGCGATACGCCAATCGACTAACAACCGGGTTCCTACTCACTGCTAGGTAAACAGAGGCGTGTGGAGTAAGAAAACCTGCCCAACGTTTCGTCCTGCCGGGAATCAAACCTAGGTCTCTTTCTTGCGAGCCGAGTGCTCTAACCACTGAGCTACAGGATTCCACAACTAATGATATTAGTTATCTAAGGATGTGGACAATTATGTTCGCAATAAGTTTCTCTAGCTCAGCACTGCCACTGCACGTAGCTGAATATGTGTGGAGACTATATCAGTTTTAACTATTTCAGTGCTGGCCTGGTTGCACTAAGGACAACAAACACTAAAAAAAATTGTATTTTGGGGTTTCCCATTTAGTTGACCAAAGTACAGTACAGTATTTACAATTTATTTCATATACAAAGTAAATTTGATCTGCTTACTAAATATAAATCATCTCTCAATCTGAGGTTGTGGGTTCAAGCCTCACGTCGGGATTTTGTAATAGTGACACTTCAATATAGCGTTGCATTGTTGGAGGTTCTGTCCAGATAAGATGTTAAACCGAGGACCCATCTCCCTGTTCAGTTAGACGTTAAAGATCCCATGCCACAATTCAAAAAGAAAAGGGAAATTCTCCCAGTGTCCTGGCCAATATTCTCCTGAATAAAAGTGGCCATTCGCTTTATGGCTGTTTGAAGTATTGCTGTACACAAATTGGCTGTGGCGTTCGTCTACAAATAAGTCACTACATTTCACAGAAAATTACAGTGAAGCACATTAAGACGTCCTGACAATATGAAGGGTGCTATATCAAATGCCAGGGTTGTTATTATTATAAAATAGGATCTAAAATATAAGGGAAGAAGTTAATTGGATTCCTTAATAAGATCATGAGTCATGCAGATGATTAACCTTTTTGGCACCCGTTAGTGTGTCACAGTGACCTGTGGAGACCCCACTCCACTGTAGTCTACCTCTTGGAGTAAAGTTTACATGATTCCATGATTCATAAACTGAATTTCTTATTAAGGAATGAAACCCCAGATATTAGACCCTATGGATTTTTTTTATTTTCCAAAACATGAAAGCTCAGTTGTGCAAATCATAATAGCCTACATCATATAAGAGGAACTTTTGTAAACAGTAAAACCTGCATTAGTTGTTTCAGTCAGGACCATAACATTTAAGATGATTTACGTGAAGTATGAGTTACTTGTACAAGTTGGATTTTTTACGGCTAATACATTACAGTAAACGAGTACCTTGTTTAAACAGAATACACTACTGTACTGCAGACGCGGTACTTCAGCGCTGTAGCCAGTGACGGGTCTAGCTTAGTAGTTAGAGCACTCGCCTTGCAAGTGAGAGGACCTGGGTTTGATTCTCGGCAGGGCGAAATGTTGGGCAAGTTTCCTTACTCCACACGCCTCTGTTTACCTAGCAGTAAATAGGAACCTGGCTGTTGGTCGATTGGTGGATCGCCTTTCCAGGGGTAATAATTCCTTCNAAAAATAATAATAATCATAATTTGGTCACTCAATCCACGCCTGTTTGTGGGATACTACTGTGCACAATTGGTTGCTGCGTTTAGCCCACAAAATATACAGTCAATTCACTTTACAGTATATTCTGTGAAGCGCTTTGAGACGTCGCAAAGACGTGATAAGGCACTATATCAAATGCAGGGATTATTATTATTACTATGTATGACTCGGGCGACAATACAATTTTTAGGAACAATTTGTGCAAGTTTTACTGTACCAAATTGAGCAGCAGGTTTATAATATCAAATAAAAAAGTGAAATGATACTGACCTCAGAAAATGCATTCCGTTGGGCCTGTAAACTGACCTTAACCACCTCGAAAGGGTTTACAACAATTGCTTCTGTGAGTCCAGATCCCAATCCAGCAATTGTAAAAATCTGAAAACAATTCAAATAACGTTAACAAACAATTCAACAACAACAACCACTTACATTTATATAGCACCCTCCATGCCGGGCAGCGTCTCAGAGCACTTAAAGCGTACCAAAGTGACGCTTTAATTCAAAGTGTACCAGAGTGACATCAGCTGTAACAAGTGGCAATAATTTCTGGAGACACTGAATTGCAATTCAGGGACACACAGCAAAGCTGCTGCACCTTGTTGAGCAGAAACACAATCATGTTTAACAACATTTTAATAAAAATGTTAACAAATAAAACTAGTCACTCACGCCATGGCTGTGTGTGGGACATTGCTGTGCGCAACTTGCTGCCGCATTTCACCCTCAAATGCAGTCTTCCATTTTGGAGAGCTGAGGGAAGATTTGAGATGCTGGTGCAGCATCTCAAAAAAATTGTGGGCTTAAGCCTTTATACACAGTGTAAAAAAATCATGGGGGTAAGCAGGAGGAAGGAATCTGGTCCCATTGAAGTCAGCAAATGAACAGCCTCATGGGCTCGCACTAGGTTTAAGGAGTACTCATGATAAACATGATGTATCGTAAACAGCTGGTGAGAAAGCTGGTTCCACCTTGCAACATGTTGCAATGCTGAACGCTCAATTTTCTTTACAAATTATTGACAACAAAAGTAACAAAATAAACTACGTTAAACAGAATCAAATTCCATGAGATATTTGTCACCACAGAATAAAATTTTCTGGTGGAGTGCCTCAGTTGATAATGGACACAGGAATCTGTAATGCCTGACCGCCAATGTTTGTATAGAAATTGAATCTCTTCATCTCATTTAATTACGGTTTTGTTAATCAATGAGTGGACACGGGATGCAGTTGATATCATAATGCCTGCAGGTTTGTTCAATGCAAAGAATGTTGGTAAATTCATCTCTGAATTTTGGGTAAGAGACATCCTACAAAGATCACCAGCCATAAATACCTGAAAATATCTAACCCTTCAAAATTTCTGTTCTTGTCTGTCTCTTCTGACATGCGTTTTCTGATTTATTATGTGGAACTGATAGTTTTAAGAAAAAAAACTTTTGGCATTAAGCATGAATGCTGTTAAAAAGACAATGATTTATCTGCGTTCAAGAGCCAAGAAGCTGGCTGATCAGTTTTTGGAGCAAGGCAGCATTGTATTAATTGATTGGTGGGGTGCCTCAGCTGATAACAAACATGGGAATCTGTGATGACTGACTGCCCCCTCTCTGTATAGACATTAAATATAGAGAGGGAGAGGAAGTCCTCAGTAGTCGGTCTTGTGTCTTAGATTTAAAAAATACTAAATGCTTTTTCGGATCATGATACAACTCCAGACAATTTCACTGGTGATTCGCAAAAGCTCAGCAGTGGAGATTTTGGTTAATCAACTCATTTTGTATGAAGCTTCAAGCCCAGATTACTTTGGCATTGAACATTAATTGAACAAGGGATCAGATAAAAAAATACTGTGGTGTAAAATGAAGTTTTCTCGTTTCTGCTGTGTGCTGCTGACTTATGTTTTAGTATCATATCCGGACAAGAGAAGGTGAAAGAATGTAGCATTTTGGATTAAAAGATCTGCCGGGATCAAATAAACTGGTGGATTGGGTTCAATATGTTGGCTGACCTTCTTCTCTTCTTGTTTTCCTATGTTTCTTAATACAGTGCAATCGGCTTCTATGATTTTCATTTTTGTCCCCTAAGTAATTCAGATGGTTTGAAACGAGAGAAGCTGTAAATGTACCAGTGTTCCATTATGATTGGTTAGTTCTGTCTGAAGCGATTGAACTTGGCTTTAAAGTCTTTGAATCCGCTTCACAGAATTACACAGACCGATACAGAACAGAACAGTCCTTGCAGCCCAACTCGTCCGTCCGTGATGGTGTTCATACTCACATGAGCCTCCACCCCTCCTATTCCTCATTCTCATAGCCCTGATATGTTAATTTGTCAGTGATTCCAATGTGATCTGTTTGGCTGGACATACGGTCACTACACTTGGCAGTAATTATCCGTGAAGCGCAATGTGAATTTGCGAAGTGATAAGGCATTACAAAATGTAAGTTCTTGCATTGCGCTCAGGTTTCTGAAAGGTTTTCTTTTCAAACGCGACAAACCTCATTATTTTACAGGTAACTGTTAAAAATCTTCAGCATATCCTTCTGTTGGATCATCCATATTATGATGGGTCAAAACATGGGCACTCATAGTACCTGCAGAACCCTTCCCTAAAAGTCTACGCACAAGCCGAGTGACCCAGTAGTCAGCAGATTTTTACACAGAGCAGGTTTTGGCCTAGTGTGAGTAATTTTAGCTGCCAAGCAGGTTTTTGCATGGAGCTCATCCTAATCTAACTCCCTTCAGCTCCTAAATACACACCGACAGGTAAACAGGAAGACGAAAGCTGGAATTCAAGAAACAAAGACACTAATCCCTGCACTGAGTGACAGCTCATGAACAAACTTACAGCGAAAACCTTTTATTCGGGTATTTAAACGTAATAATACACAGAACTTTGCTCAACTGTAATGTAACTTTATAATGAGAAATGTCTTTCGATTGAAGTCTTTGAAGCTATAAAGTATATTTAACTATTAGTAACAACAGATTTTTAAATGAAACCATGTGTTGTGTCAATGGATTTATTGTTCAATATGATAACAAATTGTTCACATTTGTGTCAACATCTTGAAGAAAGTGTCTTGCGTCACCACAACCAGCTGAACAGCTAACAGAGAGCGAGAGAACAGGGCAGATTTTACTTACCAGATTAGATGGCAAAGAAGTATAATTTAATATCTTCTTATATTGTTCAAAGGTAAAAAACTGAAAAACAAACAATAAATACACAGTAATCAGTTGCTGAAAATTTACAGAGCTAACCAGGTTTGTCTGCTTTTACAGCAAAAAAGTATTGCTGTGATCATTGGTTGTATTAGTGTGAGCAGAAGGCTGAGCAACAAAGATAAGTAAACATGTTCAGGAACATTCAGTACTTTAGCAGAGTGCTCTGCAGATTATCTTTCAAATCACTGCACAATATCTTTGCTTTTCAACATAAGTACACTTGGAATGTAAAATAAAGACTGCATTTTTCTGACTTTAGAGCCAGAATGAAAAATATCAATGACACATGTTTTTTTTTCTGATCAGCTGGGTGTCTGACACATGCGTAAATGCATCACCAAACTTAAGAGTATCCAAGCCAAACTGAGAATTCCATGCATCCCAACTTCAGCTTCTATTATCTTAATATCTTTAAGCTGCTGCACAGCAGTAGGATGCACAATACTGGGTAGATGATTGGATGGTAACATTGAAAAACAATGATGTTTCCAACATCAGTTTAATCAATGCCCCTCTGCTGATCTGTGAGGGCCTTCTAGCCCTGACAATGCATTGCTTCTCTTCTCTTATAGTTGTGACAACTGAGTGAAAAGCACACCGGCGCAGGAAGGAATATATCATGTTATCAACAAAAGAGGCTTACGTCTCTTTAACACCATGGAGGTGGGTTCCAATACAAACAAAACTGCAAGGTGAAAAATGCGTTGAAATGACCTTAAGATTGTTGTTTGTCAGAACAAGAAAAAAGAGAAATAATATAAGCCACGCTTGCAATTTGAGCATTGGAATTGACTGATGAAATAGTTGGCATGACAGAAAGAATTTTGAAGCCCATTCAGTTAGTAAGGAAAATATATAATAGTTGCCTAAGTGGAATGTTTATAGAGTTTATGAGCAGGGAGGAACATTGTGCCCTGCCACAAAATATGTCGGAAAAATTGTCAGGAAAAAAAGAAATCAGTTCAAAGAATTTGATTATTATTAGGTCATACTGGTTAAAATCATGCCAAAGGGTTAGACAAGCATTCATTCCGCAAAATTAGAATAATCTTATACAGCTGCTTTTGTAAATCCAATCTTCCTAAAAATGTAACCAATTGTTAATTTTATTGCTGATTAAATACAATTGGTCATTCGCTTCATGGCTGTTTGTGGGACAATGCTCTGCTCAAATTGGCTGCCACATTCACCTAGAAAATACACAGTCACTACACTTTACAGAAAAACCTGTAAAGGGCATTGAGACATACTCCTAACATGAAAGGCACTATACCAAATTTAAGCTTGGTTCTATTTATTTATGAGGCTCAATATGAAAGGACTAATAGCTAGGTGGTGAATTATTAAATGTATTACCGTATGTTTTATAGAGCAAGAGAAATCTGAGAAGGATATGGAGCGACGGTTAAGAAAATGTTAAAAGTTGAGTCAAAACAATGACGTTCAAAAAAAGCTGCACAAAAATTGGGCGTTGCAGTCTCCAGTTTTGTTATCAGGAGGAAGGAATCTAAATGTTAACAATGACTAACTGAGGAAATGCACAAGCCATTTTTGTAAATCATCTAAGAGTAAACTAAATATATAATACATTGGGAGATTTGTGCCTAATTTCTTAAATGTTATATAGATTTTGTGAGAAACCACACAGGAAACTATAACGAAATAATATATATTACAGGAGTTGGTTTCGTTTTGTATTTTCTGGCCAGCTAATTTGTCACATAGAAAATGTACAACTGCTAAATAAGCAGAAACTGCATATTCCTACTACAAGTGTTGCCACAATCAAATTAATAATAATATCAATGCATTTGATAAAGCGCCTTATCATGTTGTTGAGACGTCTCAAAGCACTTCACAGAATGTACTATAAAGTAAATTGACTGTGTATTTTGTGAGCGAAACGCGGCAGCCAATCGTGGGTGAAACTCGGCAGCCAGTGTCCCACAAACAGTCATGGATTGAGTGACCAATTTATCATTTATTTATCTCCAAAAGGATTATCTCCCCTGGAAAGTGATCTGCCAATCAACTACCCTTTGTTGCAGTTTAAAGATGTAAAATAAGGCACTTACCTTCACTGCCCTTTTTGGTGTCTCAGCAAGGATGGGAGGAAAGATCCCCTTGTAATAGCCCAAAATCCTATCATAGGAAAGTCCAAATGTGCAGAATTTTATTTTCAAATGAATGAAAACAGCCTCAATTTTCAAAGCACATACAAGCACATTTTGAAAAAAAACAAGGTTGTAATTATGGTATTTTTTAAAATTTATTTTCAATTTGGAAATGTTCCAGTTTCCAGTTTGTCCCCTCCGATCCACTATCGGTGGCTGTATTTTCATCACTAAGCTCCGAAATTCTGAACTCTGCCTCAATCCTTCTGCCTTACTGCCTCTTTGTCAGTCTTCAGATCGCACCTGAAGACCTTCCTCTTTGACCGTGCCTACGATCACCTCCCCTCTCTCCCCGGCTCGGCATCAAGCTCCTCCACTGTGAAGTGCTCCGAGACCCTGCCCTGCATGAAGGGCACTGTGTAAATGCAAATTGTTGTTGTTGTTTGACGTTCAGTTGATTATATCCTCTGAAAAATAAACTGAGTCTACCTGAAGGCAGTATCTGAGGATACACAGGTAGGTGCAAACTGAGGTGACCAAATTCTGCGCTGGTTACAATGAGTTATGTGCTAGTTGGACTGGAATATTGTCTGTGGTGAGTGGAGAAGAAATCTTGAACCACCTTCTGACCCAGTACTATTTGGTGAGCCAAGCTGACATATTTTTCATGGATAAGGAAGAAGTGCGCTTGATGAGTCAAGTGGAATGTTCTCATTCCATACCTTCTTATGTTCTTTTGTCTGATTGGTCAAAAGACATGTCATGCCAATAAGTTATGACTATGAGACAGTATTATGGAAATATTATTAATTTCTTTCTGTTAAAACAAGACACTTTTTGACCAGTAGATTTTTTTTTGCCTTGCAGCTAAGGATAAGCTAGGTAGTTAGTTGGTGAAGTATTATACTCTTTGTTCTCTGAACAAAGATGAAGTGTGAGCAGTTGCCAAGCGGAAACCAGATATTTACCACAAGAAGAAATTGTGGGATGGAAACAATAGGTCTCTAAAATAACATGATTGTAAAAGGACCATTCGCTTTTATTGAAGTAATAATATATAACATATCATCCTTGCATTTGATAGAGCACCTTATCAAGTTGTTAGGATGTTTCAAAGTGCTTCATTTTATATAATGTTAAGTATTTTGGATATTGATGGCTAGGACACCAGGAGAAACTCCCTTCTCTTTTCTAATAATTCCATGGGATCTTTAACGACAACTGAACAGGCAGACAGGAACTTGGTTTAAAGTCTATTTGAAGGACAGTAAAATCGACCCCAACCCCCAGCACTGCATTGGAGTGCAGACTATGTGATTCGAAGTTCCAACATGGGACTTGAACCCACAACCTCTGACTCAGAAGCGAGAGTGTACCTGGTCTTCTTTCACTGAAGAAGCAACATAATTGAATTTCAAAAGGCAAAATACTGCAGATGCTGGAACACTCAGCAGGTCAGGCAGAATCTATGGAGAAAGGAAAGTGAGTTGAAACGTTAACTCACTTTCTTCTCTCCATAGATGCTGCCTGACCAGCTGAGTCTTCCCAGTGACTTCTGTTTTTAAAATTGAATCCCAGCTCAGTTGACATTGCATAGTCGAACAGTCTGTGAATAGAGGCCTAAAAGCAGATAGAGCTGTTGACAGTCATAGGTGAAGAAGAAAGTGCTGTAAATGACTGAAATCATATAATGGGTACCAGTGATCTCTTCTCATCATTTAATACCGAACTTGGGGGTAAACACAGGACTATATTCACTCAATACCTCCAATATGTGGAGGAACCACCTATTACTCACAATGCCGGAAGAGAAGTCGATAGATGGTAAAACTACCTGTACAAAGGCCAGATCTTTTGAGACTAACATGTCTAGACGGTAGTGTTTTGTGAAATTATGGCCATTACTCCATGTCACAGCTTTACAACTGAAGAATACATCAGTTTATGCAACATATTGCTGATCGACCATAGGGGAACTTCCATGCCCTATGAGAGGGATTTATTTCTCAGATTCCTTTCATAATCAAGGTACTCAAATGACTGTGCTGAATAGCACCCAAGCACGAATACATTGTTGAAGTGTCAATATTGAGAGATATGAGCAGCTTACACATTCCAGTGGATCAGGTACTTCCCTACACAGGTAGTGTGCACATGGTGGTGCAACGGCCCTAAAATTTTATTCAGCTGAGTATTCAAAATACATTCCAAGACACTGAAACCAATGGAAGTCATAAGCAATTTTATTTCAAACATCTGTTTTCTGAGGAGTGATATTATTCTTGTAACTGTTACTATTGTTATTGCCAGCGCTATCTTCTGACTCAAGAAAGCAGTGCCATATGGCAACTCTGCAAGCTAGGAGATTAGTTAGACAGCATTGATTTTTGGTGTGGCATTAATTTCTCTTTCCACGTTTCTGTCTTTTCATGCTGCTTCTTTCAGGATGGGAGCAAAGGAGGAGATTTGGAGGATTTCTTTCCACCGCACAACAGAGCTGTTGGAATGCCCTACTATGAGCAATGGTCAAATCAGGTTCCATATTAGCTTTCAGGAGGGGACGTGATTGATATCTAAAAAGAAGTAATTTGCAGGGATATATGAAAATGTCAGATAAATGGGACTGAATGGATTGCTCTTTCAAAGAGTCGGCGTAGACCCAATGGGCCAAATCATTTTCAACTATGCTGTTTTAGGTTTTTTTAGTGACTCATGCTAAATTATGATTTCACATATGGTGTGCTACCCATTCTTCAGGCAGGAATCTAGTCAGTGAATGAATGTTGGCAGGCTATTCAAGTGTGATTGCATCACAGTGGAGATTGTAGGGTCCTCATCTGACATTTATACACGTACATTTTCTACCTGGGGTTCCTGGATAGAAATCAGGAACAGAAACTCTGAACACCATTTCCCCCCCTCCCTTATGCAGGGTAACTAAAGTCAATTGAACATGCTTTCCCTTGTTACGAATGTTGCTTAAACAACTGTAGGACTGATTAAATATTTGTTGGTAAGAAATCAGTGCCCAAACATACTTCAAGGAACTTCTTCACTGACAATATTCATGAATTGCTTTTATAATAATAATAATAATAATAATCCTTGCATTTGATATAGCGCTTTTCACGTCAGGAGGACGTCCCAAAGCGCTTCACAGAACACACTGTAAAGTGAATTGACTGTATATATTTGTGGGCGAACGCGGCAGCCAATTGCGCACAGCAATGTCCCACAAACAGTCATAGATTGAAAATGACCAATTTATTATTGTTTTGGGTTTTGGAGGGATTATTATTAGGTGTGTGGAGTAAGGAAACTTGCCCAAGGTTTCGCCCTGCCTGGAATTGAACTCAGGTCTCTCGCTTGCAAAGCGAGTGCTCTAACCACTGAGCTACAGGACTCCCAACTAACTAACTAATTTTGTAACTAATGGCAGTGAGACGTTTAATGCTAATAAATCACTTTTCCAGCAACTATGAGAGCCAATAATATGATGCGTCCAGTGTCAATGACAGGAAAATGCAAAATCAAATAGTGTGAAGCGTATTGGATAGACCCAATTAAGGAAGTGGAGCTCTGTGCATAACTACGTGTAATTTAATATGATTGGATACTTTCAGAAAAAAAAGTATAGGTGGTCAAATTCCCCCCAGTGAGCTTTTCACTGACACTCACAGTATTTGAAGACCAAGCAAAGTTAGAGAACTTTAATTTTTGGAGATTGTCAGGATTGTGTTGTGCCTTGCGATTCTCTTAGCTGTGAGTTCAGGCGATAAAGTAAAGTATTCATCACTAAAATGAGAAACTTCCTCTATGAAAGGCTCCTGTGCAGTTTCTACCATCTACCACTGTTAAGTCTTGGACACGGGCCACGACTTGTTCTGTTAGATGGATGTGGGTATCTGGCGTGAGGGCCTTTATACAGAAGGGCAGAAGATAATGAGTTGAAAAAGACAGTGAATTAAAAATGAAAAACCCCAAACTACCAGTTAGATGATATTTTTGAACCTGTTTACAAAAACAAGATCTCAGTTTACTTTCTTTTTCATAAACCTCATTCGTTTTCATTGTGGAGCACATGGAAACTTTTAGTAGAAGAGACTAACAATTTTTGACACAGGAAATAAGGTGAACAATCTGTGGAAAATAAACAAATAAAAGCTGAGGTCCTTTTTTCCCCCACTGTTCTCGACAGATATGAAAGCTTGCAATAATTTTCTTAAGTTATAACTGATGAATTCTGGATTCTATTTTACAAATGCAATTACTGACAACCCAAACAGTACAGTGAGTTGCCAAATGGAATGAGGTTGAGGGCCAATGTGAGAGCCGTATCTTGGAGAGGGCAAGCTTTGCCAAATCATTTCTTTCCAAGTGATCGAACATTGACCACACTGATGGTATATACAGCAATGGATTAGAAAATCGTCACATGTCAGTTGTGGTAATGGAACACTGTATTTATGAGCATAAATATGAGCAACAAGAATAATCACCTACAAAATGCAAACCCACTACACTTTGCACTGGATGCTGCACTTTGAGACATATAATAATATGAATTTTTGCATTTGATATAGCGCCTTATCACATTGCGAGATGACTTAAAGCACTTCACAGAATATACTGTAAAGTGAATTGACTGTAAATTTTGTGGACAAAACTTTTTCCCAACGTGAAAAGCGCTGGATCAAATGCAAGGATTATAATAAAAATAGGGCCTTATTTAAATCTTACAAGTGTCTTGAACCTTAGAACTGAAAAAAGTAAAAGAAACTACTGGAACCTCCTCCACATCACTGTAGCAAGATTCTGTTATGTTTATATCTTGTTGCTGGGTTGCTTTGCAGAAGCATTTGTTACAATCATAGGTTAAAAAATTAGGTCCATGTCCTGATGGATTTTTATAAAATTGAGTCTTGATAAGTAATTAGTAAGATTTTAACTGAAACCAGTGAAATCCAGAGGGAACAGCTCAATGTGTTCATTGGTTCTGGGACTGCATGAGAAAGCCACTGAAATTCA